AAGAACAGCGGTGAGGGTAGCTTGAGTGTACCTATTTCGAATAGGTACGCTACTCTTCCCACCGATGTAGGGAATCTCACCTCAGCCACGGTGAAGCGGTCTAAGAAGAGGAAGAAAAATCAAGGCCAGTCCGATGGTGCGAGTGGACGGGACGATGCCACCGCGACGAACGTCAGCGTCATTGGTGATTTCGGCGACGCCGTCGACAACGAAACTGCTGCCAGCCCGAGTGCAGCAAAAATGAAGCTTCCTCCACTGGTGGTGAAGCAAGTCCCACTCAACACGCTGATTGGCGATCTTTCATCGCTGGGCGTTGCAGCTGAGTTTAAGCTCGGCAGGATCGGCACCAAGGTGATGCTCCGAACCAAAGCGGAGTACGAAGTGGCCGTGAACTATCTGAAGGATACCAAGGCAGAATTCTTCACGCACGACATCCCCGGTGAGAAGCCCTTCAAGGTAGTCATCAGGGGTCTACCAAACTTCGACCCCAAGATGGTCGAAGCCGAAATCAACCGGTACAAGCTAGTCCCAATCGCTGTCTTCCGAATGACAAGGAGAGATGAAAACGTGAAGACGTACCCGGATTGTCTTTTCCTGGTGCACTTCCAGAAAGGGATGGTGACGCTCAATGCGCTACAAGCCATCCGATCGATCTACTCCATCATCGTACGGTGGGAGCCATACCGTGGCGGTCATCGTGACGTAACGCAGTGGACATGGTACCGCAACTGCAACATCAAGCCACGCTGCAGCAATTGCACTCAAGAACACGCCACTTCCAACTGCCCTGCGGATGGAGCCATGGTGACAAAATGCGCTAACTGTGGTGGTGCACATCAAGGTTCTGACAGACAGTGCTCCAAACACGAGGACTTCAAACGCATCCGAAAGCAGGCGTCAAGCAACAATCAACCAGGACGACAAAACCCCAGCATTCAGGACGGAGGATTTTCCGCCTCTTCGTGCTCCCCAGCAAAGGCAAGCGAATTCGCGGGTGCAACCCGCCCCCCCTCAAGAAGCTTCCGTTGATTCTGCTGGCCAAAGCTCTCCATCCCCCCCTGGATTCTGGAGACAACCAACAGGGCAAAACAACAACCCCGATCTGTTCTCAGCGGATGAACTGATGGAAAAACGTAAGTGCCGCAATAAGCCCGAACAGATCCAAGTGCTCGGTAAGTTCATCATCCAGTATGGCGTCTAAACCGCTAACTATCGTCACCTGGAATGCTTGCTCTGTAAGAGCAAAAAAGATTGAGCTTGCCGACTTCCTCCGCAAGCACAGCATCGACGTGGGCCTTCTAACCGAGACCCATCTAAAGACCGGCGACAGCTTCTGGTTGCCTGACCACAACATTATCCGGCTTGATCGCACCAGCTCCAGGGGGTGGTGTAGCGGTCGTCGTCAAGAAAGGAATAAAATACCACACTCTGTCCCATATCCGCACCTCTATCATCGAGGCCCTTGGTGTGGAGGTGGAGTCGTCGGCTGGATACGTCCAGTTCATCGCCGTCTACTGCCCTCGACAGTGTGCCGCCAGCAGTGGACTAGCGGCTAAATTCAAGAAGGACCTGTCCACCATCACCCGCACCGGTTCCCGCTTCGTAGTTGGAGGAGATCTGAATGCTCGCCATGAAGTCTGGCGGAACTACCAGCAGAACCTGTTCGACCACTCACAGCATGGGCTGTACTCCGTTTGGTTTTCGGATGAACCAACATTCATCTCACCGGCGGCAACCCATCGGCGCTAGACCTGTTCCTGACAAATATCGGCTTTTCCAAGCCGGTAGCCTTGAACGAACTCAGCTCCGACCACCAACCGGTGGTGGCTGAACTGGGCTGCAACGTGGCTCCTGCTTCAAGCCTGCCAGTTTGGACGCGTGGTAGACAGGCACATCATCGACAACCCGCCGCTTGACACCGTGGAGGACATCGATCGAGCGTTGGAGGGACTCCACCAAGCCATAACCGTGGCTGACGAGGCGTGCGTCCGACGAGTTCCTGTGAGGGGTAAGTTTATTGCCATTGATTCCCACACCCAACTTTTGATTCGCCTGAGAAATGTTCGTAGACGCCAGTTTCAGAGGACTGGAGATCTGGGCAAAAAACGTGAAATGGCTGATCTGAACAGACAGATTGCTTCCAGAATGGACTCACTCCGAAATGAAAGTTTCGGGCGTGTTTTTTTTTTTCGCTCCAGACCATTCTGGAAGGTAGCCAAGGTCCTGAAAGCTCATCCCAAACCCATTCCACCACTCAAAGATGAAAATGATGACGATCGACTCATAATCACCCCTCAGGAGAAAGCAAATGCGATTGGTGAGCATATTGCCAAATCGCACTTGCTTGGCTTCAACATCCAAAGTCCGCTCGAAGTTCAGGTTGAGCAATGCGTACTCAACCTTGATTCCTCCCCTTGTGCCATCCCTCCGGAGGATAGAATCACAGTGGAACAGATTTGCTCAGCGCTGAAATGCACCAAAAACATGAAGGCCCCCGGGTTTGACGGAATATTCAACCTAGTGTTGAAAAATCTCAGCATGAAGGTTCACTCTCTGCTGGCTGCTGTCTTCAACAGATGCTTGGAACTGCACTACTTTCCAAACATCTGGAAGACAGCGAAAATCATACCTATCCGCAAATCCGGGAAGGACCCAACGCTAGCTTCAAGCTACAGATCAATCAGCCTTCTTTCAGCGCTGAGCAAATTGTTCGAGAAACTCATTCTCAATCGTTTGCTCAAGTTTGTCGAGGAAAATAACATTCTCCTTCCGGAACAGTTTGGATTCAGAAAGGGGCACTCCACCAATCATCAGCTAGTACGGGTGATGAATAACATCCGAAGTAACAAAGCTGTATCCAAGTCCACAGCCATGGCCTTGTTAGACGTTGAAAAGGCGTTTGACAATGTTTGGCATGACGGACTTGTGTACAAGCTTCGTAGCTTCCACTTTCCATTACATCTGGTTAAAATCAACCGTAACTATAGGTATACCTTCAGCAAAAGTCGTTTAAGGTATCGTTGAATGGTTGTCTTTCCGACACGTTTTCCATCCCAGCAGGAGTCCCGCAAGGCAGTCTGCTGGGCCCCTTGCTTTACAGCATTTACACTTCCGACATTTCTCCCCTTGGAGACGGTTGCGTGTTTTTCCTGTTCGCAGATGATACCGCAATAGCCGTCAAAGGAAGGATGCCTCGCGAAATAACGAACAAACTTCAACGATGCCTTAACGCCTTTGCTGATTATGCCACAACGTGGAAAATCAAAATCAATGCCTCCAAAACACAAGCGATCATGTTCCTCCATCGGCAATCGCCCAAACTGAAACCGGCTCCATCTTGTACTGTAATCATGGATGGCACAAGGGTTGAGTGGTCCGCCGAAGTAACCTATCTCGGGATGTTGTTCGATGAAAAGCTCCTCTTCCGTTCGCATGTGGAGAAAACTGTAGTTAAGTGTTCTGCCTTGGTTAGATGTCTGTATCCGCTGATTTGCCGCAGATCCCGCCTCTCAAAGGTGAACAAACTGGCTGTCTACAAACAAATCATAGCACCTGCGATCCTCTACGCAGCTCCGGTGTGGGAATCATGTACACAGACTCATAGGAACAAAATTCAGGTCGCACAAAATAGAGTGCTGAGGATGGTTCTTGATCGTCCTTTCGACACTAGAATAACAAATTTACATGAAGAGGCAGGCATTGCCAAAATAGATTCCAAAATTAACGAAATTAAGACTAAATTTGCACAAAAATGTAATTTATCAGAACATGCTTCGATAAGCAATTTGTATATAGTAGGTTAGGTGTACATAGTAGTTGTAGGTTAGTTGTAGTTGTAAATAGTAGTTATAAGTAGACTCCTTTTTCCAATTCAAATCAAACCAATCCCACCAAGGTGGTCATACTTTAAAATAGGCCTGATAGGACTAGAAACTGTAAATAATAATTAAAATCTCACTGTACTAAAGTTGAAAAGACGCATCTGTGTCACTTGAAAAATTCATACATGTAAACCACACAAACACAAGAAATAAAGATCATTTAAAGTCAAAAGTCTTTTAGACCACTGTGTGGCGGCGGCTCGGGCGGCGGTAAGAACTATTACGGCACATGAGCTGAGGTTCCTGTTCTGGAGTGACATTACATAGATTGTTTACTCAGAGGTGAGTCAAAACCCTGCCGAGATGTGTGTTAAATCAAGCCAATATGCATTTTAACGGTTTTTGTTAGTTCAGTGGATTGCATTTGGTCGTAGTATGACCGCCATATTTATTTTTTTTACAAGCAGCTGTAGCTTTAGTTGTCGCCATTTAGTGAGAGACTGTTGGTGAGCTAGATTGATTTTTTTTCCGGTGATTGTGATCTTGCGTTCCGTGTTTATGTTCTCAACATCATACTGCAGCCGTGATACGATTATTGCACGTAAAACCAACTACATAAATTATTGCGTTATTTAGCATGATTTGCATTTCAACTTGCTACGGAATGTGACGACCAGTGGGTGTGTTTGAGTGTGTGTGTGTGTGTGTTTGTGTTTGTGAAATTTGTGATTGGTGAATTTAAAATTTGGGTTTCTTTTGCATTTGCATGTGTACGTGTGGTGATGTGTGAGAGATACGTTGCAATTAACACACATTGAATAAAAACGCATGATTGTTTTACATGAACAGTGATTGGAATCGAAACTTTTGATGGTGGCCATTTTGCTGAAAAGTACTGAACTATACACTCGCATCGTCACGTGGTGGGTGTCTTTTCAGCATGGGGATGTGAAATTTGTTCGATGTTTTACATTAATATCATATTGCAACCTTGCAAACAATTACCATTGATTAACACGGGGAGAGTGTTGGTGGGAAGGTGATTTTTAATTGAAATGTTTCAATTTAAAGGGATTATCAACTCTACGAAATCTAAACAGAAGCAATATGGTGTCAATATTGGTTAGGTGTGTTTGGGAGTTCAGTTAAAATGGAAAGTGAAGGCAGCCAAATACTCACTCGGGTGGCGATCCTCGCAGGCTGAACGATGTGAAGGTGACGTCGACCCGCTGGCCCGGACCTGCTAGGAAGATGTACAGACACTGGCGCGAGTGGTTCGCTGGATTGGTGAGCAGCGGTGCGTTGAACGTTCCATTCGAGGGACCACCACTTCGGGACACGAACGTCTGATCACACTCTGCGTTGATGAAGGAGAAAGAGAAAAAAGATGAAAACAACGGTCAATGATAAAGTTTATTAAGTTTTATCCGGAGGGTAAGGGAGGTCCAGCACTTGGCCAGATAAGGTGGTGCCACAGAGAAAGATTTTTTTTGTGAAAACCTGAACGTGTATGAAACGGTATAATGGGATTCGGTTTAGAATGACTCTAGTGTACAGCAATAGCAACATTGAAAGAAGGAAAATTGTGATGGCAGCTGAAACAGAAACTGTATGGAAGGCGATTTGATATCGCTTTTTTGTCTGGTTCAAGCGAGTTTGTGAGAGCACTAGTATGAAACGGGAACTAAACAAATTAGTTTGTTGTTAATTGGATTTTTTATCGCTCTTCAGCACTCCTCTAAAGGAAATGCGGCGTCAGGAAAACTTTGTAAAGAAATATTGATGGGATATCGAAGTATGGAATGAAAATGCTTAATCGGCATTCTTTTAATTAGTTTCTTGTTTAAAAAAAACGTGTATGAAAATTTGAATAGTGTCATTCAAAAGGCAACACATTAATCCGCCTATCTTGTCTTTTTCGTACAAGTTGATTTTTTTTACATAGGAATAAATTTTACTTTTTTTATCGCATTTCTGGTTGAGCGATACGGTTGAGACGATAAATCATTGTTGATGTTTGCAACAAAATTCACTTATTTCTATGTCTAGTAGGAGGAAGGGCTGAATACTCGTGGCTTACCCGAGGTTAGAGGGCTACATTGTCTAAGGATAGGATCAGGGGAGGAGCTTGGAGTGGGGTTTCGTCATAGAAGTAACTCTAAGACTAGTGAGTCCCGAAGATACGTGCTCAACTTTTTGGCTCAGCTCTGGTACTATCTTCGGTCTTGAAACATAGGAAAATCCACGAACCCCTCATTTTATCTGTCAAACTTTCATACCGAATCAAAACAAACATAGTATAGTACTAGAATTTCGACTAGAATGGGGTACGTTAATCGATTTGCTTGGGACCAATTAGCTAGTTAAGTAGTGAACCAATTTTAAATCGCTAGTTTACACTGGTTGGTTTCGTTGTATCATCAGAGTGTTGTCGCCAGTATGAACGGTTAGTTAGCGCTCAACTCCCAAGCGGAGCAGACGTGTTATTTCGCTGGAAGCCACAGGCAAGCTATATTTTTTTTCAATTTTAGGTTCGCCTCGTTTTGGTGTTCTTTTCGTCGCGATTATCGCTGAGATGAGTGTTCGACGCGAAAACACGTTTCGCATTGATTATGCGAACGTGCCGAAGAAGCCATTCTATGATCAGCTTCATGACTTTATTGCTACCAAATTGGGTCTACAATACGAGGAGGTTCTTCATCTATAGCCAAGTAACGGATTTGAATGGATGTAACTCTTACTCAGTTTCGTATTTGCATGCAAAATGTCAAAAACTGAGTAACATCAATCTACCAAGTATTACCCAAGTATTTACCCAAGTTAGAATTTATGCAATCAGCAGTTCAAAGCATCCGTAGGCAACATTCTTCGTTCCTCCGAAACAGGTTTTCTGAATTGGAGTCTCACATACTGTCGTAAATAATTTTTAATTTGTTGAGCTTCATAATAACAGTAGGAAGGTGCTCCCAGAGAGTATTCATTTATCTGATAGTAAAAAAAAAAATTCAACGTTTCCGGATTGGAAATCTTAAAACGATAGCGTTCAAATGATCAACATCGCTAACCGAAAGTTGACGGAAGATTCTGAAATCTAAAAGAAGCTCCATTAACAATAACGGAACTGATGCTGGCCCAGTAAACTTTGACAGATAGTCAAACTTCGATGTGAAAAATTTAATAATTAATTGTATTAATTGTATTTATTGTATTAATTGAAAACATAGTATATCCAAACATAGGGCCTCAGTAACAACATCTCTCGGGCTTCTCGTGGAAAACAAGCTTGCTCGCTAACTCGCAAACAATATTGCATAAAAGTTCTATAGAATGTATAGAAACGTCAAAGTGATGCGATGCCAGCGCTGCGGCGAGTAGTTTGCGGAATTGATAATATTCAAATCAACCGTTAAATGCGTGAACGAAGATACATAATGAAGAGTTACGTCTGTTTGTCTGTGATAATATCTTCATCCTATCAGCATATAATGATATTATGAAAGAGCAAATAAATACGAAACTGAGTAGCATTTACTCAGTTCCGCTTATTTTCCAAAAACCAGAACTGAGTAAATGCTACTCAGATTTTGACAGATTCATTCATTACTCAAAAGTGAGTAAACATGGTATTACTCACTTTTAGGGTAGTTTCACTTTTAACGAAAATGAGTACAATTCAATGAGCGTGTAGAGCTAGCGCAAAGATTTGCAGCAGAGAACGACAACAAGCACGAGACCGAAGTAGCCGGCAAAAGCTACAAGCTTCGGATCAAAATTGAGGACGGGGCGATAGAGGTGAAGCTGACGGACCTGTTCGAAAGTATCACAAACGAAGAAATTGCTGAATTTCTCTGCCCCTAAAGCGAACCCCACACCTATCAATATATTGACGCGAAGGGATTTTTTTTCCCTTGATTTGTTTTCCGTCGATCTTGTTTTCCATCCTGAGCACTAATGTTACCGACGCCAGGGAGGCAGCTCCCACACCTAGACCCTACCTATCGACCCATCAACTCATGAACCGGGGACTAACGGCTTTACTTCCCAAGGGGAATTATTGACAATAATATTGATGATGTGAATACAGAATGACAATACGTTTGTTGGCACTGGGTCACATCGCGATGGCCTCCACGGTATGGTTCCCATCGTACGATGATGGAGTAGATTGAGCGGATAGCCTGCAGCGCATTCAGCGTCACCGTTCCCTTCTGGAAGTGCACCAGGAGAAGACAATCCGGGTACGTCCTCACGTTTTCGGCTCTCCTCGTCATCCGTCATCGCCGTGGCGTTAAAACGCGCCAACTGTGGTGGTGCTCATCAAGGTTCCGACAGACAGTGCTCCAAACGCGAGGATTTCAAACGCATCCGAAAACAGGCGGCAACTAACAACCAACCTGGACGCAAGAAGAACAAAGTCCCGGGCCGGGACTCCCGGCATTTCGGACGGAGGATTGCCCGCCTCTTCGTGCTCCTCAGTAAAGGCAAGCGAATTCGCGGGTGCATTCCGCTCAAGCAACTTCCGGTGATTGTGCTGGCCAAAGCTCTCCTTGCCCCCTGGATTCTGGAGACAACCAACAGCGCAAAACAACAACCCCGATCTGTTCTCAGCAGACGAACTGATGGAAATTTTCGTCAACATCCGGTGCTCTTCGTAAGTGCGAAGTGCCGCAATAAACCCGAACAGATCCAAGTGCTCGGTAAGTTCATCATCCAGTATGGCGTCTAAACCGCTAACTATCGTCACCTGGAATGCTTGCTTTGGAGATTGAGCTTGCCGACTTCCTCCGCAAGCACTGCATCGACGTGGGCCTTCTAACCGAGACCCATCTAAAGTCCGGCGACAGCTTCTGGTTGCCTGACCACAACATTATTTGGCTTGATCGCACCAGCTCCAGGGGGGTAGTGTTGCGGTCGTCGTCAAGAAAGGAATAAAATACCACACACTGCACCTCTATCATCGAGGCCCTTGGTGTCCAGTTCATCGCCATCTACTATCCTCGACAGTGTGCCGCCAGCAGTGGACTAGCGGCTAAATTCAAGAAGGACCTGTCCACCATCACCCGTACCGGTTCACGCTTCGTAGTTGGAGAGATCTAAATGAAGCTTGGCGGAACTACCAGCAGAACCGTTCTGGTCGTCTGCTGTTCGACCACTCGCAGCATAGGCTGTACTCCGTTTGGTTTTCTAATGAGCCAACATTCATCTCACCGGCGGGCAACCCATCTACGCTAGACCTGTTCCTGACAAATACCGGCCTGGACAAGCCGGTAGCCTTGAACGAACTCAGCTCCGGTGGTGGCTGAGCTGGGCTACAACGTGGCCCCTGCTTCAAGTCTGCACAAAGACTACCACCGCGTAAACTGGGCCCAGTTTGGACGCGTGGTAGACAGGCACATCATCGACAACCCGCCGCTTGACCCCGTGGAGGACATCGACCGAGCGTTGGAGGGACTCCACCAAGCCATAACCGTGGCTGACGAGGCGTGCGTCCGACGAGTTCCTGTGAGGGGTAAGTTTATTGCCATTGATTCCCACACCCAACTCTTGATTCGCCTGAGAAATGTTCGTAGACGCCAGTTTCAGAGGACTGGAGATCTGGGCAAAAAACGTAAAATGACCGATCTGAACAGGCAGATTGCTTCCAGAATGGACTCACTCCGAAATTAAAGTTTCGGGCGTGTTTTTTTCGCTCCAGACCATTCTGGAAGGTAGCCAAGGTCCTGAAAACTCATCCGAAACCCATTCCACCTCTCAGAGTCGAAAATGATGACGATCGGCTTCTAATCACCCCACAGGAGAAAGCAAATGCGATCGGCAAGCATGTCGCTTCATCGCATTTGCTTGGCTCGAATATCCAAAGTCCGCTCGTAGATTAGATAGCGCAATGCGTTCAAAACCTAGATGCCTCCCCTTGTGTCGTGCCTCCGGCGGATATGATTACAGTTCAACAGATTTGCTCGGCGCTGAAATGCATCAATAACATGAAGGCTCCCGAGTTTGACGGTATATTCAACTTGATCTTGAAGAGACTCAGCATGAAAGTGCAGTCTCTTCTAACCGCTATCTTCAGCAGATGCTTGGAACTGCACTACTTTCCAAGCATCTGGAAGGTAGCAAAAATCATACCAATCCGCAAGCCCGGAAAGGATCCAACATTGCCTTCAAGCTACAGACCAATCAGCCTCCTTTCAGCCCTGAGCAAATTGTTCACGAAACTCATTCTCAATCGTTTGCTCAAATTTGTCGAGGAAAACAACATTCTCCTTCCGGAACAGTTCGGGGCACTCCACCAATCGCTATGTTATGCATCCCATCGATGACTATAGTCGCTTTACGGTAACTTATCTGCTGAAACAG